TATGTTAAGAATCTTGAAATGAGATTATCCTGGTTAATCTGGGTAGACCCTACTCCAATGACAAATTTTCTTATACTAGATACACAGAGGAGAACAGATAGAAGAGAAGACATAGAGGAGAAGGCAATGTGAAGATGGAGTCAGAGATTGGAGTGATATGGTCATAAGCCAAATGTGCTGTTCTATTTGTTCTACAGAAGTATGACTGAAGCTTAGCTTCAATTGACTTGAGTGACATCTTCTGGGTCATGTCTATCTCCACATTGATTTACTTGGTTCTATGTCATAGTCATCTTTTCCTGCCTTTGCCTTTCACTCTGGCCCACCGAGATGGTCATTTCTTGGTGTTAGTGCCAATATGTTAAAAAAAAAAAAAAAAAAAAAGGCTAGTAGCGCTCCATCTTTGTCTACAATTGCTTAAAGTTCAGTCTAAAGATGTAGGGTTTCTAATCCATTTCCCCCAAGTTCTGAGACTGCATCTCTGTACTCTTGAGATTGTCATTTCTGTCCTTTAATCACTACTGTAGTAAACTTTACAACATAGAATTCCAACATAGATGTCTCTTCTTTCAAGCCCCTCCCAAATGTCTTCTGATTTACAGATATTCTGTGACAGGTTAGAGAGTAAAGCATATCCCCCAGGTTGAGGTTTTTTGTTTTTCTAATTGTTTTCCTATTTCTCACTACATATGTTTCATTATTCATTCATTCATTTACTCATTGAAAACATTTATTAAACTCTACCATATTGTGCATGGTATTGTATTAGCAGCTGGAAATAGAGAGGTGGATAATATAGCCCCTGTCTTCAAGTCAGGGAGGAGGGGGCACAAATACATAATCACTGAACACTGTGAAAAATACTACCAAGCTCTTAAGTGCAGACACCTATGGTAACATTGAAAGGAGGCACACTGCTCTCACACTTGACCTTAGTGTTGCCAACTAAGTTATGACTTTGCTATTTATGTTTTATACCAACTAGTTGAATACTCTGTAATTGTTTTAGTCAAGTACAGTGACATAGGTATGTATGTCACGTAAGTTTGAACAGAATAATAATAATGATGATAAAAATGATGGCTACTCAACAAGTATGTGTAATGAATGAATGAATTTTACGATGAAAAATCTGAGGCTTAGAGTGTTAAATAGCTTGCACAAAGTCATGGCTAAGAAAGTGACAGAGCTGCAACACAGAACTGAAGTTGTCTATTTTCAGGGTATGAGCTCCCAACTACTATATGTTCTGCATACTTAGTGGAACCAGAATACAGACAAAAACACATTCTGGCCGTATTTGCAACCCCAAATTGCTTTAGAACCTAGAACAGGTTTAATGATAATCAGGGGGAAATAGTTTTAAAATATTGTATGTGCCTTATTACCATAGACAAAATTTGTATCTTTCATTGTGATACCTAACTAATTACTGAAAAACTATAGACGGAAATATGAAATATTTTAATAAAAATTCTTTTTATTTTTGGAGAAAGTTTGAGATATGATGATGTAAGAAATAGAATATGGTTTCTTAAAAACGTATGCGTGGTAGGGAGTAAAAACGGATCTTAGTTTTTGCTCTTCAGTAAAAGCTATCTTTTCTGAAGTGTTTTTCTAGGGAGAGAGGTATACATAAAGTGATACCTGATGAAAAACAAGTCTGTTTTTAGCACAGAATTAGACCAAGGATTTTTATTTATGTTCTAGTTGACTGAATGGGTGCCTAGTTGCTCTAAGACTTCTAGGGTTATGCTGGACAGAAGTGGCAAGAGTGGACACCCTTGTATTGTTCCTGATCTTATAGGTCAACAAGTACAAACTTTCAGTTATAAGATGAATAAATTCTGAGGGTCTAATGTACAGTACGGTAACTATGGTTATTGATACTGTATTGTGTACTTGAAGTTTGCTAAGAGAGGAGATCTTAAACGTCTTCACCAAAACAACAAAAATAACAATAACAACCACAAAAAATGGTAAGGATGTGAGGTGACGGATGGGTTAATTAACTTGATTGTGATAGTCATTTCACAGTATATACGTATATCAAATCATCATGTGTGCTTAAATATATTACAGTTTTATTTGTCAGTCATTCCTTAACAAAGCTGGAAATAATAAAGATTCAAAAACAAACAAAAAACCAGCCCCAAACAAGAACACAGCAGACAAACAAAACCTCTGGAAATCACAGAGACACGGGGAATTACTATTAAAGGAAAAAATGGTAATAGCAAAAACAAAGTGTGATGGTTGTTTTATGTATCAACTTAACTGGACCACAGAATGCTCAGATATCTGGTTAAATATTATCAATGAGTATGTCTGTGAGGATGTTTCTGGAAGAGATTAGCATTTGAATTGGTAGAATGAGTAAAGTAGGTGGCCCACTCCGATGTGGGTGGATATCATCCAATCTGCTGAGGGCTTAAGTAGAACAAAAAGACAGAGGAAGGTTGAATTTACCCTCTACCTATTTATTTGAGCTGGAACGTTGATCTTCTGTCCGCAGCACTCCTGATTCTCAGGCCTTCAGGCTTAAACTGGAATCTATACCATCTGCTGTCTAGATCTCAGGCCTTCAAACTACACTGTAGGTTTTCTGGGTCTCCAGCTTGCACATAGGATATTATGGGACTTCTCAGTCTCCCTAATTGCATGAGCCAATACTTTATGATAAGTTTTATATTTATATCTATATCTGTCTATCCTATTGGTTCTGTTTCTCTGGGACACTCTGACTAATACACAAAGGATATTTATTGTTCACAATGACTTCTTAAATTTACCATTTAATTCTCACATTGACCATGCATTAGTTGTATAGTGCTTCATAACTAATTAAACAAATTATTACAAACTTAGTAGCTTAAAACAACACTCACTATTTCCCTCATAGTTCTGTAGGTCAGAAGTCCAACGCAGTGTGGTTGGATTTTCTGTTCAGGGTCTTCCCATGATAAAGTCAAGGTACTACCTGAGGCTGCAGATTTCACCCATGGCTCAGGATCCTCTTCCGCACTCACTGGTTGTGGGAAGCATTTATTTCATCGTCATGCTTTCCACCTGCCCCCTGGACAAGCCAGCAAAGGCTGGTGAATCCTTCTCATGAGTCAGATCTCTAGGCCTTCCTCTTCTGCTTTTGAGGGCTCATATGATTACACTGGGCCCACCTGAATGACCCAGGATAAGCTTCCTATTTTTAAGGTCAACTAATTAGTAATCTTAATTACAGCTACGAGATCCCATTCGTCATGTAATGCAACATAACCATGGAAGCAACATCAGTGCACAGAGATCATGGGGAACAAAATTCTGAATGCAACAGGCCTTGTGTGATAAGGATTTTTACAATATGCATTTTAAACGTAAGAATTCCAAGGCAGAGGAAGGTTAAATAGCTTACTCTAGGTCACAGGCCTAAGTGAGAGAACCAGCTGAGTACCCAGCACTTCGCTCTTCCTTCCAGTTTGCAGTCTCTTTGCATGTGGGAATGAATGAAATAACCTTTTTGCTAAAAACCTAGGTACTATGGTGATGTATCTAACCAGGCATTTAGCACTCTTAAGTGACTGAAAAAATAGATCCTTAGTTTAAGTTGATCTTTATAACAGAGACATGATGGAGTTTTTAAAGGAAACTTTGGTGCTTGAAAAAGAAGTAGACTGTTGTGGGTAGCATGCACTGAGGCAGAAAACAGGCTTGGGTGTGTGTGGGCGCATGGGCTGGAAGTGAGCCACAAACCAGAGGACTCACAATGGTTGTTGCTGGGATAATGACACCAAGCCCTCTACCCTGGTGGGTAAATCATAAACTGCTCTATGTTGGGAGCTAGAAATGCTCATTTTCTAGTGAGTAATTCTTTCAGAAGAGCTAACACAATAAGAAACCTTCTTGGGATTGTACCTGGACATAGGATTTTCTTCCCAATTTGGTCTTACCCTTTCTCAGAAGTGACTTGCTGGCCTTATGCATGGTAGAAACTCAATTAAATTGCATTGAGTCATGAAGGATTCCAAAGTAAATTAAATTACAATATGATAAATTTAGTAAGGCCTCATTCTACCTGACTTTAAATGTGCAAAGTGAGCATAAGACAGTACGTGAATACCAGTACAACTTTCTGAAATAGGAATCAGAATTTTGATGCAGCTAATTGTGGAACCAAATGTGTAAAATAATTTATGGAAGAAAAAGAAGCTACGAAGTGCTGGAGTATTCTAGTAGGACCAGTTATCTAGTCAAAATTTTTTATACTGAGTTAATTATATTACATTTTTCTCTGTTAAATTTAGAGATGTGGTTTCTAACTCCTAACTCTCTCTCCCTCCCCCTCTCCCTCTCCCTCTCCCTCTCCCTCTCCCTCTCCCTCTCCCTCTCTCTCTCCCTCTCCCTCTCCCTATATATATATAGGGAGAGGGAGAGAGAGAGACAGACAGACAGAGACAGACAGAGACAGAGAAAGATAGAAACAGAGAAAATCACTGAGTACATGGTGGCATATCCTTGTACATATCCTTGTCTGTTCAATTACTTTAGAAACCAGCATGGTTATTTTAAAGGTGAAATGTCTTTGTTTTGCATTTGAATAAAGGATGTTAGGCTCACATTGAAATATTACTACTTGGTAATCACTTCCCATTGTATATCCAGATTTGTTTTATAAATGAAAAGGCACAAAATTATAGGAAATAAAAAGGCTTCCAAATCGTGACTTCAGAAGGATTCTGTGCCGTTAAGAAAAACTAAGTTGGCTTCAAGGTTTCACAGTGTAAGCCAGTAGTTTATTGTTTCATCACCTGAAAGAGGGATCACGTTTCAGCTAAATTACATTAGAATAAGTTTATAAAGATAACCATAAATCACTATTATGTAACGATTACCTCATGAGCTTGCTTGAAATGTCCAGACTCCTTGATTTGGCATTCAAATGAATGGCTGGATTGACCTTTCCCCACTTTTCTAAGTCCTTTTCCCGTTATTCTTTTCTCTTTCAGTCCAGAACAACATGTGGCTGCCTGCCTCCCCATCTGTCCTCACCTCAAAGTGTACTTTACACCATGCAAGCTTTGGGTTCCATGAAATCTGGAAACATCCTGCAGAGACTGCAGAATGGTAGGAACATTCATTTCTGTACAGGGTCCTAGTCTATGCAGAACAGAACTGCTTGTTAAAATGGGGAAAACAATTGGGAAATGGAGAATTCATTTTCATGGTAAAAATGTATCAAACTGGCACATCACAAAGTAAATCTTGAATGGCTCAGCTTTAGGATATCCCTCTTGATCAGTGTAGTCCTGGCTTGGAAATATCCAGACCTCCCTGGAGACAAATGTGTGGCGTATCTCAGAGTTTAGCCATAGACTCAAAGGCACCATGATACCTGCAGTTCTTGCCTATCTTTTTCTGTGCCTTTTTGATACTTTTGCGTAAGGTTAGACCTATCTTTGTTCTGAAGAAATTAGTAATGTTCTAGTGATGTCACTGTTTTATTTATTCCTTTGTTTGTTGGCTGCTGGTTTCTTTATTTTCACTCAGTAGCCGGGTTACCGAGGTTAGTAATTTGAGGTCTCCTTGGTATGGTGGTGGGAATGCGTTACTGAGGAAAGCACAGTGTTTCTCCCCAGATCCTTTGATCATCATAATGATGGATTGGCTAAGAGAGATAGTTGTGTCCAGTGTTATTTGGACTGAAAATGGCAATCTAGAAAATGGGCTTTCCAAAGAGCCAAGCTGGCATCTACCTTCTACTCAGCCTTCTAACTGCAACAGAAGAACATTAGTAGATAGCCAGTGTCTGCACTGACAAGTATTCTCTTCCTATTATGTACTGGAATCAGTGAAATCACTGTGTGCTCATTCATTTATATGTAAAAACATTTACTGAGTGTCCACAGGGTTATAGGTCTTCTAAACACCAGAATACAATCACCATGGCTGAATTTTGAAACAGTAAGAGGGCCCTGTGAATTTATCACATGCATTTTTTTGTGCCCTAAATTAACAGGTAGCACCTCCAAAGAATTTTTTTTTTACTTTTTATTGATGTATAGTTAATTTACAATATTAGTTTCAGGTGTACAACATAATGATTCAAAATTTTTTATAGATTAAACTCCATTTAAAGTTATAAATTATTGGCTATATTCCCCATGCTGTACAATAAATCCTTGTAGCTAACTTATTTTACACCTAGTAGTTTGTACCTCTCTATCCCCTACCCCTATCTTCCGCCTCCCCACTTCCCTCTCCTGACTGATAATCACTGGTTTGTTCTTTATATCTGTGAGTCTGTTTCTGTTTTGTTATATTTATTTGTTTTATTTTTAGATTCCACATATAAGTGATAACATATAGTATTTTCTTTCTCTGACTGATTTCACTAAGCATAATACCCTCTAGGTTCATCCATGTTGTTGCAAATGGCAAAATTTCATTCCTTTTTTATGACTGGGTAGTATTGCATATGTGTATGTGTGTTTGTGTGTGTGTGTGTGTGTGCGCGCGCGCGTGTGTGTGTGTGTGTGTATCTCACATTGTCTTTATCCATTTATCTGTTGATGGATACTTAAGTTGCTTTCATATCTTGGATATTGTAAACAATGCTGCTATGAACATTAGTGTGCATGTATTTTTTCGAATTAGTGCTTTTGTTTTCTTCAGATATAAGTGGAATTGTTGGATTATATGGTAGTTCTATTTTTAATTTTTTGAGGAACCTCCATACTGTTTTCTATAGTGGCTGCACCGATTTATATTTCCACCAATAGTGCACAAGAGTTCCCTTTTCTCCACATCCTCACCAGTTTGTGTTATTTGTGGTCTTTTTGATGATAGCTATTCTAATAGGTGTTGAATGTTTTTTGTTTGTTTGTTTTGTTTTTTCCCGGTACGCGGGCCTCTCACCGTTGTGGCCTCTCCCATTGCGGAGCACAGGCTCCAGACGCGCAGGCTCAGCGGCCATGGGTCACGGGCCCAGCCGCTCCACGGCATGCGGGATCTTCCCAGACCGGGGCATGAACCCGTGTCCCCTGCATCGGCAGGCGGACTCTCAACCACTGTGCCACCAGGGAAGCCCTGTTGAATGGTTTTGATGTGCATTTCTCTGATGATTAACGACGTTGAGTATCTTTTCATGTGCCTATTGGCCATCTGTATATATTCTTTGGAAAAATGTCTATTCAGATCTTCTGTCCATTTTTATAATCAGGTTGTTTTTTTGATATTGAATTGTATGAGCTGTGTATATATTTTGGATATCAATCCCTTATTGGACATATCATTGCAAATATTAATATTGCCTCCCATTCAGTAGGTTGTCTTTTTGTTTTGTTGATGTTTTCCTTTCGTAGTGCAATAGTTTTTAAGTTTAAATATGTCGCATTTGTTTATTTATGCTTTTGTTTCCTTTGCCTTAGGAAACACATCCAAAAAAAAATATTGCTACAGTTTATGTCACAGAGTGCCTATGTTTTCTTCTAGGATTTTTTATGGTTTCTGTTCTTACATTTAGGCCTTTAGTCCATTTTGAGTTAATTTTTGTACATAGTGTGAGAAAATATTTTAATTTCCTTCTTTTACATGTAACTTTCCAGTGTTCCCAGCACCATTATAGAAGAGACCATCTTTTCCCCATTGTATATTCTTGCCTCCTTTGTTGTACATTAATTGACAATGAGTGTGTGGCTTTATTTCTGAGATCTCTATTCTGTTTCATTGATATATGTGTCTTTTTTTGTGCCAGTATCATACTGATTTGATTACTATAGCTTTGTAGTATAGTCTGAAGTCAAAGAGCTTTATTCCTCAAGCTCTATTCTTTCTCAAGTTTGCTTTGGCTATTCAGGATCTTTTGTGTTTCCATACAAATTTTATAATTATTTGTTCTAGTTCTGTAAAAAAATGCCATAGTGTATTGATAGGGATTGCATTGTATCTGTAGGTTGTCTTTGGTAGTATGATCATTTTAACAATATTAATTCTTCCAATCCATAAACATGATATCTCTTTCCATATGTTTGAGTGACCTTCAATTTCTTTCATGAGGGTCTTATAATTTTCCAAGTACAGGTCTTTAGCCTCCTTAGTTAGATTTATTTCTAGGTATTTTACTCTTTTTGATGCCATGCTAAATGGGATTGTTTTCTTAAGTTCTTTCTGATAGTTTGTTGTTAGTGTATAGAAATGCAACAGATTTCTGTGTATTACTTTTGTATTCTGCAACTTTACTGAATTTGTTGATGAGCTCTAGTCGTTTTTTGGTGATGTCTTCAGGGTTTTCTACATATAGTATTAGGTCTTCTACAGTGATGTCACATACTTTTATAAATGACTCCTCCTTTCCACTTTATGATTAGAAGAAAATCATACCTATCTCTCCAATTTCCTTGCCAGTCAATCTTTTTCCTTTATACTCTTTAGAATCAGAGAAGTGTTTATATTTTCCTAAAAGCACTATGTTGTCTCTTTCTTCCATACCTTTTCTTATTCAGAAAAAGCTGCTTGGATTGCCCTTGTCTGTCTTCTTGCCTGACCAACTTCTAGTTAATATCGCTGTAAACTGAGATCTAGTTTTCCCTAAAATGTGTCCTGATTACATAGATTGTGGTAAGTATACTTTTCCTAATCCTGTACTTAACACTATCATAACACCTATTTGTTCTATTGAAATTATTTCTTGTGCTTCCCCCATTAGACTGAAGTTCCTAGACTGTAAGAGACATGACTTATTTTGAATTTGGAATGATAAACACAATATGGAAACAGATCAGAAACTTTAAAAAGTTTTAACCTGAACTAAACTGCACACAGACTGTTTCCTTTCTTGCTCAGAGCAAAAAAAGTCTTCCACATTTTTTCAAATACGTGGAGCTACTCCCAGACTTCACTAGTCTCCTTGCAGGTGTCAGCTGAACCTCACCCAGGGAAAAATGCATTATAGCCTTTGAACACCAGGGTGGAAAGAAACCTCAGGAATCAAGTTCAATACTTTTCATTATTTGGATTTTAAAGCCATCTTGACACAGTGTATAGGATCCTGGATTTGTGAGAGAGTTACTGGGTTCAAAATCTACAATCACCAGGATTTATCAAGTACAGTGCCTGGCCCACAGAAAGTACTTTTTAAAATACTTGCTTTATTAAAGGAATGATATTCGGCAAATCATTTACTTACGCTGAGCTTTTTTCTCATTGTCATGAAACCCAAATTATTTCATAAGGTCAAAATAAATTTGTCAAACATTAAACTCCTTAAACTGTCTCCCAGTGATTTCTGAGACTTCCTCATGGTGTGCTCCATATACTTGGGGATCCTTTCCTCTTTCAGTTCCCTCTTTAAGCTGCTACGCAGTTACCTTTGCTCACTGCTGCTGTTAACAGCAGCCCTGAGGGAGGAAACCTTGCTCTCACATGTTGTATTCTATCACTTTATCTCCCTGTTGGTCTGCAAAGACCAGGCTGTATCTTTTAATGAGGTTTTGTTTTTTTTTTTTAATTCTCAGATAATGAAAGAGAAACAACACAGAGAGTCCTTTGCAGCCCTGCAGCTTTCTCTAGCCTGTCACAGAGTCAATATGCAAACACAGAGTATTACTGATGTGGTCAGTAATACAAACACTCTGAAGCAGAAAAGCAGGTGTGCTGGAGTCCAGACCAGATTTCCTCTTGGTGCATCAGAGACTGAGTTCAGACCACATTTTTGTCCTTTAGCATCCATTGTTAGTAACCACGTAAGACACTCTTCACAGGTCTCATTCCAGCAGCTTTGGAACGTAGCTTCTGTCATTCTCAATCCTTTGATCATCTTTTCAAAATCAAGTTAATGACTTTCTTCCAGGTATGGTTAGAAATAAATATTTTGACCTTATGAAACATACCTAACTACCGGTACCATAGTTCTGGTGCTCAGACAAACATCTTTTGTATGATGCCTCATTGGCCTGATTTATTTCTGTCTCTGTGTGTAGTACAGAACACAAGGCATAATGCTAGATAAAATGCGAGTGACCTTCTGGAAACTGATAAGTAAGTGGGACACACATAAGAAAACATTTAATATTCTGTAATTAAGGTATCATAAGTTAGAGGAGGGATAAGGGGAATTAGTTTGGGTAGGTGATATAGGGTCGGTAGCCCTTGAGCAAGGTCTTAAAGGATGTGTTGGGAGAAGGAAAGACTTGAGCAGAACTCCAGGGCCTGAAGAGTGGGGAGTAACTTTGCAGAATATCAGGTAGACTGATAGGGATGAATTTATGGAAGGGACGTGAAGGAGAGGATAGTGTGATAAAGAAGAAGCTAGAAGTTCATTTGGGGCCACCCTAAATGTGGAGAGTTTTGAATTTCAGGATTAGGAGTAAAAGCCAGTTCAGTTGCTCTAAATAAGGTTGAGTTATGTGCCAGGGCCAGCAGTGACACCTTAGCCGTTGTCAGACACTTCAGCAGGTGCCAGTTGTCAGAAAGCCTTTATGTGATTTTTCTCTTCCCAAAGCTCTTGCAGATGTAGAGCACAATAATGATCCTTGGGTAAATTTCAAAGAAGCGATGACTCTGTGCCTGACACCTTGAAGCCACAGAGGGTCGGAGGTGATAAGAGTGAGGTGAACCAAGCCCCAAAGCCACCGAAAATCAATGGCTGTAAGTAACTGCAGCCCCAAGCTGCGGATTGCTGTAGTAGCTGCCGCACTGATTTCAGTTCCAGCTTAATTGCTGCAGCAGGCAAAGCGAATGCTTCACTCTTGAGTGCTTAAGGCTCTTACAGATCTTCCTGGAGCTCGAGCTCGAGCTCTTTTTGCTTCCAGTGCTTCTGTTTATTGCTCTTTGGGGAATTCCACTAAGTCATTACCTGTTTGAAATGTCCCTGTCTCATGCTTATGTCCTATCTTCCAGGATAAAATGTGGTTTTCAAGGACAGAGATCTCAGCTTAGGTATTCTAATATGTTCCATAAGGTTAAGCACATCTTTGGTTGAATAATTCTTGATAAACTGAATTACATGCCAACATAATTTGTGGTTATTATTAAAGCATTATTGCTATGATAGCAAAAGATGTTTTTAATCAGAAAAAAACAACCCATAATCCCACTTTTGTAACATAATAACTGTTTCACTCTTCCAAGTCCTTTTCTAGTTTTTGATCATTTCCATACCCATCTTGACATGGTTGCAATACATTAATTCATTTACCTAACAAATAGTCACTAAATGCTTATTGAGTATGAAGCAGTGATGATCAGATACACATAAGATGCAATTAGTAGGAATCTGTAATGTTGAGGGTTTTCTCATCTTGGTGTTATACCAAAAGATGTTGCATATTTCATAATTTTCGTAATAGCTCATCAAGGTGACAAATCTGGTAACTTCCTTTGCTCACAAGCAGAAGTGGTGTTTGGAGAGCTAGAGAAAAGTACACTCACATCATGCTATAATAAAGCTTGAACAACCAGCCTAATCAGTTCAAAGAGGTCAGGTAGTCAGGCCCATGGTGGGTGGTGATGATGGCTGACACTCATATATATCAGCAATGCTTAATAGAGGAGACATTTCTTACCACAAGAAAATGTTCACTAACCAAGATTTGCGTAAAAGCTAAGTTCAGACTTTAATGATTAGTGCCCACACCTTGGAATTACCAGAATCTGAGAAAATAGGTGAACATGAGAGGAAACTCAACTTTTTATCCTACCTACCCCGTACCCCAAATAGTCACTCTTTTTTTTTTTTTTGCGTTACGTGGGCCTCACACTGTTGTGGCCTCTCCCGTTGCGGAGCACAGGCTCTGGACGTTCAGGCTCAGCAGCCATGGCTCACGGGCCCAGCCACTCCGTGGCATGTGGGATCTTCCCAGACCGGGGCACGAACCCGTGTCCCCTGCATCGGCAGGCGGACTCTCAACCACTGCGCCACCAGGGAAGCCCTAGTCACTCTTATTGAATAAAGATGTTTCTACTTAAGTGGGTGCCCTTCCTCCTGTGTTGGAGTATGTGAATTACCCCAAGCCAACTGAGCAGAGTGGAACTAGGGAATGCTGTTATATTCATTGCTGCCCTTGGATACTGGTGACCAAGAGGAACATCTGAGGAAGAAACGTCCAAATCTAGTTTCCTGAAGTTCAGTTTTCTCTTGTTTGTGAAAGTGCTGGTATTTCACCCTGGTTAATACATGGCGCACGTGGTCTTAGGCACGATTAAACAGCAATGCCCTGGGCAGTCGTATTCCCAGTAGTTGTCATGTCACTGTCCAAATCAAGATTTACTTTCCTCTGGACCCCGACAGGGATTGGCTTTCCTAACATAAAGGAGAATCAAGGCTTTTTTCTGCATCCGAAAAGAGCAGAGTCTGATGACATACAGAGACTACAGCTGACAAGAAGAGGCAGAGCACTCAGGCCAGGGGACGGGGAAAGTGCCGCACCACTCAGCCATCTCTATACTTAACACTGACAAGCAGGCAGCCAGATTCATGGATGACATATTTGGAGAAGAATAACGCCTTGCACAGTTAAACTTCAACAGCCTAAGTAATTATGCTTAGCTTTATTTTTCATAGACTGTATACAAAAGATTAGGCATTCATTTCAACTTTCAAAGTATAAAATTAGAATATTGAATAAATTTTTATAAAACCCCCCTGGGACTGCCCAGGTATTTTTATACGAGCCCCTAAAAAGCCTATGCCCCTGCGTTTAAATCTGTACATTAAGCATGCTGATTAGGTTTCTAGTGATGAAGAATTTGACACTAAACCCACTAAATGTGTACTTTTGTTGCATTGCACAGTAAACTGTATATATTCTCATTCCACAGGATGTATATACACAGTTTTATTTTCACTACTTTATTTGTTATCTACTCTTCTAGGTTAAGGGATTTCCTCCAATTATCATCATAGCTAAGTTGCTAGCTTGCTAGACTTAGGTATAGGTAGGTTAACAGACACGTAGAGCAAATGAACCTGATCTGAGCCTTAAACTCTAGATTCTTATACTAAAAGTTAGTCACAGCAGGTGAGAAGGTCCCACTACAGACATCTTAACTAATCTTATTTTTTGCCCATGTGTTCAGAGTATTAAAAATAATTTGTCTGAGCCCTCCAATTGTACATTTTATTTCTTCTCATAATATGGCAAAAACTGCTGTATTTTCAAAGACATCGAAAGGAGTTTGAGACAAAAATACCCAAGGACCTTTTCACCCTTTGATCATGCGTACATTGCCACTATTTGATCTAAACCCTTACAGTGGTTTTTAGCATAGCTTAGGACTATTCTTCATCATCTATAATGTGGGCCTTCAGAAGTTTTTACTGGTTAGTGAAATTGTCCCTTTGTCCAGAATATATTGAACTAGAAGAGACTGCCCAAATCCATCTAAGCCAACTGGAATAAGGGCTCAAAGATCCTAGTTGGTCATGTGGAATGCTCCTTTAAACCTCTGTAGCTGTGGTGCATTCATCTTCCTTCATGCAGATTAAGTAGCACAGAAAGTTACAGAAAGAGATAGGAATGAAGCAGCTCCTTTTTGAGCCTTAGCTGCATACCTGCCCTTGGGTCAGTGAGGCGTGCCTGTATCCTGAGAGCTCTAAGTAATACATTCCTTTAATGTCAGCTTAAGAGCTAGATCCTGGACAAAAAGCAGATCTCTGGAGGCATGGGGGATGGAGAGGGAAGGCAGTGTATACTATTATTTGTAATATAGACTCATGCATCTTAAAACTGGACTGACCTTCAGAGAGTTTCTAATTCAGCCCTATTTTGCAGGTGAGAACCCAGAGAAAGGAAACATATTTTGACCAGGCTAGGCCGTTAGAAAGTTGTTAGTGGCAGAGTCAGAATTAGAGTCTTAGTTCTACAAATTCCCACATATATGTCATGTGAATAAAATTTCTGAGAATGATACTGCAATGCCTGCCCCTCTACAAGCAGTTTCATGACAAGTGTTGTACATCCTATTACGTACATTCACATACTATGCCTTATGCAAAAAGATGTTAGCATTCTCTATCTCTTTTTCTGTGAAATATCTATTGACTAAAAGCACCATTTCCATTTGTGTGAGTTGTTTATATCGCTTTGTCTCCCTTTAACTTATTCTGTGGATGAGAGCTTCATTACTTTTTCATTTCCTTGTACAAGCTGCTTAATCACTTGTTTTGCTCTCAGCTCAGCAGGGCCTTCACAGTTGCTCAGTAATCTTTCTTTTATCCCTGTGGAGAAATTTCCATTCTTCTTCAAGGTCCCTATACGTCCCTTTCTCGTTGTTTACAAAGAAACCTTTTTTTTTCCACACAAAAAGTCTGAAACTGCTAAGGGATAAATTCCATCTATCTCCCTCACACTGTAAGTATTAAACATGTCTTCTATCCTCTCTTGATTCAAAACAACCTGAGTCTCTCTTTTCCAAGGCTAAAATGTACCACTGTGTTCTCTTCACCATGTGCTCTTATATCCTCCTTGGTCATGATGCATTGATTGCCCCTTCCTAATATCATCTCCCTCTCTCCCATTAATGGTACCAGTCTCTACACAGAAAAAGAGCGAAGACTTGCCCATTCTGTGGCAACCTGCCTTAAGCGTTCTTTCCCTTGAGTTGTATGGTTGAATTGACATTCTTTCTCCATTTATACTTTACACTGACTGCTCTTATTTCTCTCCCTTGCATTCATTTCTTAAATGTCCTGCTTGGTGTTCGCCCTTCCTAACATGCTCAATCCTCTCTTGATGTTCCTAGGATTTTCTGATTGCCGAATGCAGCAGTCTTTTCTTATTGCCGAATGCAGCAGTCTTTTCTTATTGTGTTTCTTTTTAAAACTCTCTGAAGCTTCTGCAACTTTTGACCACCCCTTTCCTCCAATGGTTTAGCAAACCCCCCGCCTCCCCACCCCCGGCGTCTTTCGGTAATCTGATGATGCCTTCTAAGTGCACTTAACTAGTGCTCTGGCTTCTACTCTGATAAAATGTAGGCATTTCCCAAGGTTACAATCTTGACCGTTTTCTCTTACCTACATCAGTAAGGCTAATGTAAAAGTTGAGGGACTTGAGATTAGACTATGCTGACCATTTATGTAGCAGTGTGTCCTTT